CCCCCCCCAAAAAAAAAAAAAGACAAGGCAATGTGGGCGTTGCGCGGGTTTGTCCGACCCCTCCAACATTGATCGGCATGGGGAAGCCTTTCGCCCCTCCACGGTCTCCATTCCGATGGGGATGTGGGAGAGAAAAAAAAGGCTTCAATGGGTGACCCATGGGGTTCCCCCGTCGCGGTGGTATTTCTCCAGCGGAGGCATGTGGGACATGGAGATGGCGCCTTGATGCGATGGGTTTTGGGGTTGCAAGCAGAATGAGAGAGAAATGAGCATATATAACACGGGTTGCGTCGTGTGGAGGCAGCGACGAGCTTTTGTCGATCTGTACGCCCTTGACCTGCATGTCTTGGACCTGCTTATCATAATCTCAATCCCGACTCGTGTTTGAAGAGGAGAAACTTGTCTCTCTTCCCAGCTCGCACACTTGGAAGCTGTGCGCATTGTCCAACAGCAACAACAAAACATCATGTCAGACGACGGCCACGAAAAGGCGAAACCCGAGTCTCACGTAGACTTTGTTTGCACCGCGCCAGACCCACGAGATGTCAACGCCTTCATCGACGACATGGAGGGCCAGCTCGAGGCCGCCGGGGGTCTCAAGACGGGCTTCTTTCAAGTGCAGTTCAGCGACCCGCGGCACTTTACCTGGCTGCTCGTCGCCTTTGCCAGCATGGGCGGCCTGCTGTCCGGCCTGGACCAGAGCTTGATCTCGGGCGCCAATCTGTTCTTGCCCAAGGACTTGGGCTTGACGGAGAGGCAGAACAGCTTGGTGAATGCGGGTATGCCGCTTGGTGCTGTGGGAGGCGCCTTGTTGCTGTCGCCCGCGAATGAGTACTGTGGACGCAAGTGGGCGATTATCATCTCCATCCTGCTCTACACTGTTGGTGCTGCGCTGGAAGCTGGCTCCATCAGCTTTGGTAGGTCTAGACCATCTCTCCACGACTTTAATCTTCATGGTGTGCTAACAACGTGTATTTAGGTATGATTGTTTCTGGCCGTGTTGTTCTGGGTCTGGGTGTCGGCCTCGAGGGCGGCACTGTCCCCGTCTATGTCGCTGAGACTGTCGAGCGCCGTATTCGAGGCAACCTCGTATCGCTCTACCAGTTCAACATTGCGCTTGGAGAAGTCCTTGGATATGCTGTGGCGGCCATCTTCCTCAAGGTTCCTGGCAACTGGCGTTATATCCTGGGTTCATCGCTGCTATTCTCCACCATCATGTTTGTTGGGTAAGTTGTCTCTACCTCTGGAGCACTGCTTTGTCTTTACACAAGAGTACGCTGACCAACGTGCCTCGGTTAGAATGCTATTCCTGCCAGAGAGTCCTCGCTTCCTCATGCACAAGAACAGAATTCTAGATTCCTACAAAGTCTGGAAGCGTATCCGTGGCACAGAATCTCCCGAGTCCCGCGAGGAGTTTTACATCATGGCCAATTCCGTCCAGCAGGAAAACACGGCTGTCAGTGAAGGCGCCAAGAACACGCGCTTCCCTTGGATGGACTTTTTCACGTGAGTGGTACTCAACCACGCCCCTTCGTTTGCCCCTTTGCTAACCGGAGAGACAGCGTTCCTCGTGCTCGCCGTGCTCTCGTCTACGCCAACATTATGATTCTCCTTGGACAGCTGACGGGTGTGAATGCCATCATGTACTACATGTCCGTCCTCATGAACCAGATCGGCTTCGACGACGAAAAGGCTACATACATGTCTCTTGTCGGAGGCGGCTCCTTGCTCATCGGAACCATTCCCGCCATTTTCCTCATGGAAACCTGCGGCAGACGCTTTTGGGCCATCACAATGCTTCCGGGCTTCTTTATTGGCCTGGTCTTGATTGGCGTGGCGTATCAAATCCCCATCGATACCAACTTGCGGGCAGCAGAGGGGCTCTATCTCAGCGGTCTCATCATTTACATGATGTTCTTTGGCTCTTATGCATGCTTAACATGGGGTAAGTCGAGTCGTTTGTGTCTTTCCTGCTTCTTTACTAACACTTTTTGATCAGTTGTCCCATCTGAAGTGTACCCGACCTACCTCCGAAGTTATGGCATGACCACCTCGGACGCTCTCCTCTTCCTCGCCTCCTTTATTGTGACGTACAACTTCACAGCCATGGAAGACGCCATGACGCGCACCGGCCTGACGCTGGGCTTCTACGGCGGCATTGCTTTTGTCGGCGAAATTTACCAAATCTTCTTCATGCCCGAGACAAAGGACAAGACGCTTGAGGAGATTGACGCCGTCTTTTCGCGTCCTACTGCAGAGATTGTGCGTGAGAATTGGGCGGGCGTCAAGGAAACCGTGGCGGATGTGTGTAACCTCCGGTTCCGCAAGGTGTTTGAGGGACAGATGCAGCGGAGGAAGAGCCTTGATGAGCCTGTGACTGCTTGATTGGGATGAAGATATATAGTGCAGGGCTCTGTATATGAACATGATGAATTGGGATCTGGAAAGACCTTTTAGAATGCTGCAAGATGACTTTGGACTCGTGTGCTTTGCCGCTATTATTTGACTGCAAGAGACTCACCCACGGTCCAAACTTATCGCGACAGGCTTACTCTCATTACCTGACACCGCTTGAAAGTAAAAAAAAAAAAAAAAAAAAAGAGAGACGAACCGATATTACATTAGAAATTATTGCACGTGCAGAATAATTTCATTTCTATAAGTCATAATTATCCACTCCGGTTTGATGATTCCCCCGAGACTCCATGAAGCCAACATTGAAGTCGGCTATATGAGTCCCCTAGACTCCACATGAGCTTGCCCAATTAGCCGAGACGTCAACACCATCGTTCTGTCTTGTGTGATTAGTTTGTACATGCATACATCTTGAGATGCTGTGCTCCGTGTATACTCAATTTGGATTTGTATCGAGCACTTGGATGGAAGCATGTGAATCAAGCTGGCGCAGGAATTAACTCGACAGACTCCGCCCGCCATGTGCAGCATCGTCAACTCCCGGATATGGCAATCAAGTTGCTGGCGGGCCAGCTCATACAAACGACTGCAAAGACGGGTCATCGCCGAAGCCAAGCACAGAAACTTGTCATGCACCGCCCATCGCCGCCTCATGGACACGACGGGCTTCAGCGAGACGCAGCTCACCGTCCGGGAAGCAGTCGGCCAAGTCTGCTCCCGCTTCCCCAACACATACTGGCGAGACGTCGATGAAAAGGAACAAGACCCCAAGGACTTCCACGCCGCTCTCGCCCGCGACGGCTGGCTGGGCATTGCCCTCCCGGAGACGCTCGGCGGATCCGGCCTGGGCATCTCGGAAGCCACCGTGATGATGCAGACGATTGCCGAATCCGGAGCCGGCATGGCGGGTGCGCAGGCCGTCCACGCCAACGTCTATGCGACGCAGCCGCTGGCCAGGTTCGGGTCGGACGAGCAGCTGCTTGAGACGGTTCCGGGCATCATCTCGGGGCGGTGGCGGACGTGCTTTGGCGTGACGGAGCCCAACGCCGGGCTGGACACGCTGCGGCTGTCGACGACGGCCAGGCGGGAGGGCGATGAGTATGTCGTCTCGGGGCAGAAGATGTGGACGACGTGCGGGCAAGTCGCCTCCAAGATGATTCTCCTGGCGCGAACTACGGCGTATGAAGAGGCTCCCAGGCCGAGCCAAGCGCTTTCGCTGTTCTGCATCGACCTGGACAAAAGGCAGCCGGGGCTCTCGATGCGCAAGATCAAGAAGATGGGCGGCCGGGCCGTCGATGCCAACGAGGTCTTCTTCGACGGGTACCGGATTCCCGCCAACACGCTCGTCGGGGAAGAGGGCCAGGGCTTCAAGATTGTGCTCCACGGCATGAACGCCGAACGATGCCTCCTCGCCGGCGAAGCGCTCGGCCTGGGCTACGCGGCGCTGACCCGAGCCGCGACGTATGCCCGCGAGCGAGTCGTCTTCCAGCGGCCCATCGGCACGAACCAGGGCGTCGCGCATCCCCTGGCGGACTCGTACATGCACCTCGAGGCCGCCAAGCTGGCGACGTACCACGCGGCGAGGCTGTACGACGCGAGCGAGGCGGACGCTTCCATCACGCAGGAGGTCGTGGGAGTGGCGGCGAACAGCGCAAAGTATCTCGCCGCGGAGGCTGCGTTTACGGCTTGCGAGAGAGCGGTGCTGGCGCATGGGGGGATGGGATATGCGGCCGAGTATGATGTGGAGAGGTGGTTTAGGGAGTGTCTGGTGCCGCGACTTGCGCCGGTGAGTCGGGAGATGATTTTGAACTATGTTGGGGAGAAGGCACTGGGACTACCAAAGAGCTACTGAATTCTTTCTTTATATTCATGGTTTGACATTGGTTTTGTTTTGAGAGGAGTAGAAGGGGGTGAATAGTACAAGCGAACGTAGCTGAAGGCCATGTGTAAGTGAGACGGCTATGTGTGATAACGAGGCCGAATGACACAGAACTCGCGAGCTCCTAAACCGGATTGAAATAGAAGTTCGCATAAACAAGCTTAAAAACGGGAATAAACGACCACGGCACTATAAGATAAAAATGACTCATTTATCAGCAGTATCAATATAAAAGGAACCGTTAGCGCACCGCAGTTGATTTCATTCCCAGCAGCCAAAAGCCGGACAACGAGCTGCCCAGAGGCGCCCCACCAGATCCGTCCGAGTCCCGACCCGGAGCGGCAAAAAAAACATCATCAATTACCAAAACATCACACACTCACATCTTACACACATTTTACGTCTTCAATTCTTTGCATGTGCTTCTCGCAGTCCATCGCCGTCCGTCGCAATGGTCTCCCCCAAAGCCGCATCATCGTCTCCCTTTGAAGCAGACGGCAAGAAGTCGCGGGCCAAGCACGCATGTCGCGAGTGCAACACCCGCCGGGTTCGCTGCGATGTCATGGAGAAGCAGCCGTGCTCCAACTGCCTGGCCGCCGGGGCGACGTGCCAGGTTCTGCCGTCGCGCAGAGGAAGGTATTAATTGAATTGAAATTGAGATTGAAGTTGAATTGATGTCAATTGATGGCTAATTTGGCGCCAATTCACCGTCGCTCAAGATATCCGCGGAGGTCGCGTCGGCTACTGCAGCAGATGCCGAGTGAGGCCAGCAACACCACTCGGGCTCTCAGCGAAGCCAATCTTCCTCATACCAGCCAGGTGACTCCCCTCGGCACTCCGTCTCACTCTCACGGCAACTCGACGCCAGATGCTGCGGCGTCTCAGCCTCAGCACTATCCGGCCTCGGAGCCCCAGGGACAAGACGCCTCATCGCCATCATCACCGACGACAACGCCCGGAACCCGCTTCTTCGGCGAGTCCAACTTCCTCACGCTGATTCCGGGCGACGACGAGGGCGCCTCGGCCCAGCCCAACGTCGCCGGCAATGGCCGCAACAATCAAAAGCCGCGCTTCACGTTCCCCATGCCAACCACGCCTCAATCCACCGCCCAAGCCGCCGAGGCCAACCCGGGCCGCAGTCCCGCCATGATGCGCTACCTCCGCGACGAAGGCGCCCTGGCGCTGCCGGATCTCGAGAGCTGCCGCCCGGCCTTTGAGGCGTACTTTGCGCGGTTCCACCCGGCCTATCCCGTCCTCGACAGGGCGCTGGTGGCGCGGCGGCTGGCCTCTGCGTCGTCCTTTTCGTCGGTGGACTTGTCGAGGATGCTGCTGCAGGGGATGCTCCTCATCGGGGCGACGTACTGCGACGTGGGCACGATCCGCGCCATGGGCTTCGAGGACAGGTCGCAGGCCAAGACGGCGTTTTACACGCGGGCGCGGGTGCTGTTCCACGCCGACTGGGAAAAGGACGAGACGGTGCTGATTGTGTCGTTGTTTCTGATGAGTTTCTGGAGGGGGGCGCCGGCGCATGTGCGGGATGTGCGGTACTGGCTTGGGGTTGTGATTACGCTGGCCGAGTCGTACGGGCTGCATCGCTCGTGGGTTTCTTTCCTCTTTGTTTGATTGTTGTAGATGCCGGTGCTGATGGATTTCATCAAAAGGTCTCGATCAATGTCAAAGGACTCTTATACCGCCTCCATGAGACGAAGAATATGGTGGTCCATCTACGCAAGTCTACTCCCATCCTTCAGCGCAATCACCCAACTCATCCCTTTTTCGTAATGCAGGTGAGAGAGCGACAGGCTGCCGCAGCTCTAGGTCTCCCCAGCAGGATACGAGACGACGACTGCGACATTGAGCCCCTCAGCCCAATGGATCTCGAGTCAGAAGTCAGCCCCGTCGACCCGTCGTTTGGCTCATGCCAGCCAGAGCACGTCACATATGCCATCAAGATGGTGGAAATTGCCAAATTACGTGAGAACACCACAGTCTCGCCCTTTTGATTTTCTTCCTCCTTTATAGTCCGCCTCATACTCTTACTAAAAACTGGGGGGGGAAACAACCAGTTGGTAGAATCATCGACCTCCATTTCGGGCCCGGACACGCCTCCATGTCCTCGGCCTCTCCAAACACTCTCCAGGATCTCAACGCCTCTCTCGAAGCCTGGATGGCGAGTCTCCCAGAAAACATGAAGTACTCTCCAGATCATGGCACGGATTCAGTCTGGGCGTGTCTCCTCCACCTCGCATACAAGTAAGGCCTCCCTGTCCCATCATCAATTTTTGTCTTCATCACCCTTCCGCTAACCACCAGGAAAAAAAAAGCCATCTCAAGATTCTCATCCACAGAAATAGCTTCCTCCGCCTCGAATCCACCACCCCCGGCTCCCAGGTCGTCCTCAAAGCCGCCTGCCGCATCAGCCGCATCGCCGAGGACATGTCCACCCAGGGGATCCTCCGCTACGGCCAAATGCATCTGTAAGTGTATTCTCAAAATCCCCTCGGATCACCATCTCTTACGCTTCTGCGCAGCATCACAAGCATCTTCTCCGCCCTCTGCATTCACACCATCACCATCCGTCGCGGCACAGGCCTGACAAGACGTCTTGCCGAGCACCGCGCCGAGGCGTGTCTCCTCTGTCTGAAGGAGGTCCAAAAATACTGGCGCATCAACATCAACGTCCTCGACTTTTTCTTGCACTACCTCGACCGCTCGATTGCCGCTCGCTTACACGGGATGCAATCCGACGCCGTTGCGCCGCCCCCGTCCAGCACCGGCCAAGGGCCCCCCAGAGAAGCAAATGATTTGAAAACCATCGCGGAAGTGGAAACGATTCCTTCCGAGTCAAATTCAAATCCGAACGTATATGCCCCCATCGAATATGACTCGGCAGTGCCGAATATCCCCATACCAAATCTCGGCCCGGGTCATTATCTAGCGCAGGAAGAATTCCGAGAGCAGTATCTCGGGCTCGTCAGCCAAGGCGACGACTTGCTGGGTGATTTGGAACTATTTCTACAGGGCGAGGATTTTTCACAGGCGGGAAATGGATTTAATATGCTGCAGAGGTCATTATGATGATTGAAAGTTCATCGGAGTCATGTGTATATATTCATATTTTGTATTCATCATCCTATTAGAGCCGGAACACTGCCACCGGGCACACGGACAACTCGCCACTACCAATATACAGATCATAGATTTAAAAAAGAAAGCATCACACTCATCCAAAACTCATAACAAAGCCAACCTCTTGGCATTTGACCACAACTAATACGGCATGCTACATAGTAAAAGAAAACTCGTTACAAGAACCACCTAAATTCGGGAGAGCTGGGGCCGTCCCTGAGTCGCGAAGTAGGAATATCCCGAGGGTCAATCTTGACGCCCGAACGACGGTTGCGCCTCCTGTTGTCCCACATCATAAACATTCCCATGCACAGAGTGATGAGGGCGCCGGCAGCGCCGAAGCAGGCGGTGGTGATGAGAGCGGGCTCGTATCGGGGGGCATCCTGAGTACGGAAGATGTTGCTGGACACGAGACCCATGACGTTGGCCAGGGGCACACCGACAGACGTGAGCGTGATACGGCGGCCTTCGTGGGCAATGTTGTTGTTGTACCAAGTAGACAGCAGGACGGAGGGAGCAGAAGTGCCCCAGCACATCATGAAAGTGGCAAAGTAGGCGACGTGGATCTGCTTGGTGACGTCGTCGATGGCGGCGTAGATGATGAAGCCGACAAAGGTGAAGACGTAGCCCAGGATGATGAAGGGGAAACGCAGGCGGGCGTAGTCCGAGGCAAAGGCGAGGACGAGCAGCATCACGGCGCCGGTGACGTTGGGGGCCACGGTGTAGAGGTTCGTCTTGACGGTGGAGTACTGCAGGCGGGCGATGATCTGGGGCAGGAAGAGCGACACGGACTGGATGGGCACGCCGAGGCAGATTTCGATGAGCAGGAAGCCGTAGGCCCAGGGGTAGGTGAAGATCTTGAGGGCCTCGCGGAAGTTGAACTCCTCGGCGACGTCGGACGAGGAATCGACCTGGATGCGGTGAAAGGCCAGCGAGCGCTCGTCCTGGGTCAGGAACTTGGCCTCGGAGGCGGAGCGCGGGAGGTAGAACCAGGCGAAGATGGCGAAGAGGAAGGTGACGCCGCCCTCGATGATGAAGAGGTAGCGCCAGACGAGGATCTTGCTGTCCTTGATGTGGAAGACGCCAAAGGCGAGCAGGCCGGAGAAGGCGTTTGCGATGTTGGAGGCGGCGTAGAAGATGGCCAGGCGGCGGGCCAGCTCGCCACGACGGTAGAAGGTGGTCAGGTAGTAGATGACGGTCGGGAAGAAGGCGGACTCGGCCATGCCGAGGAACCAGCGCACGGCGAAGATGCCGCTGAAGTTTTGCGTGGCGGCGGTGCAGAGGGTCATGGAGCCAAAGGTGAACATCATGATGGGCAGGGCGCGCGAGGCTCCGAACTTCTTGGCCAGCATGGCAAAGGGCGGAGCGAAGATGACGTAGGGCACGAAGAAGATGGAGACGACGAGGTTGTACTGGTTGGACTTGAAGTGAAGATCTATAATGCCGGTGGGAGTTTAGTTTAGATGCCATGACGAGATATGAAAGGAGAGAGGCGTACCGCTGCTGAGGCCCTTGGTCTGGGCGTTACCCAAGTTTCCCTTGTCGAGGGCATTGAAGAGGTCTATCAGGGGGGGGAATAAGTTAGTTGCTGAGTTGATTTTATGGATGATGACGGTTGTCAAGAGATGGAAAAGAGAAGTTGTCTCTTCTTCAAGACACGCGTGTCCAGTATCAATCGGGGTGGGAGACTCGACTTACACATGATAGCCAGCACGGGCAGGATTCGAATATCAAACTTGAAGCACAAGGCTCGCTCGGCAGGATGATCGACGACGCGCGCCGTCTCTTCCATGAAGCCCTCCTTCTGGCTCTCGACCTGGTCGAGGTGGTCGTTGGTGCCCATGTCCTTGGACACGGCATTGTCGACCTCTTGGGCGGCCATGGTGACGGCAACGTTTCACAATTGATACAAACGTGAAACGAAAACCAAGAACAGAATTAATAATGATATTAATTCAGAGACGGCAGACCCCGATGGCTGAGAAGAGAGAGAAAAGGACAAAATAAAAGGGCAAGGCCGCGAGCGTGTCTGCGAGGTTGGGATGCGGCCGGAGCTTTTATAACAAAAGTCTTGGCTCAACGCACACCGACCTGCTGGAAGCGCTCAAGAGCTGTTTTTGCCAGGCTAAAAAAAAGGGTCGTATTGATGATGCACAGTGATGAGCTGACAGGCAAGCTCAACCATGCATAGAACCTGACAGATGGGAAACGGAAACGCGGCAGCAGGGGGGGAAGGATGCCGGCCGCTTTTTATGATGAAATGTAACTCTAGATAGCAAGACGAAGGAGAAAAAGTTGGTCAGTTGAGATAGACAGGCGGCCATGAGCATCCAGGGGTGTGGGTTAGCAGGAGAAAAGGGCCTGGTTCCATTCCAGCTGATGATGCTGTTGCTTCTGGCTCTTTTCTTGGGTGCTCCAACAAGGAATAAGTCGGTTTGACCCCCTCCCGCACCCCCAGCAGTTCGGACGTGAACAACTAACTTACTAGCAAACTCCGTAATCAACGGCCGGGCCACCACCAGACAGGTTCCCGGAGATGTGGAAAGATTGGGAGGCAGATACACGGCTTGTGCAAGATATCCCCCTGTATCCACCAACCCCCCAAATCTCTTATCTTAACCCTCTTTCTTCTAGATCCACGCCGGGACAAGGCAACAGGATGCTGATGGGCAAGAAAAAGAGGCGGAACGATGGGCTATCTATCAGTCAGATAGGGTTTTTTCTTTCTCTCTTTCTTCCTCAACAGGACAACGCGCTGATTTGTTGCTCCAAGGTGATGATGACTCGACCCTTCTCGAAGCGAGACACGAGGAAGGGAAAAAAAGAGACGGCGCGTTTTTTTCCCATCCATCCCCGGATCAAGCCACAGCCTTTTCCCTTTTCTCCAGAATCCTCTCCGTGGGGAAGACGAGACAAAAACCTGGAGAAAAGCAGCAAGACCCAGGCCTTACCCCACACTTTTGTTCACTTCTCTCCTGGCCCTCCCTTCAGTGTGGGCATGGGTTGTTTCTGTTGTGAAAAACGTGACTAACACAATGGTCCAGCACTGAGTCGTAGGAAGGGGGCCCAAGCGCAAGCAGAGAGAAGAGGCGAGAGACAAACAACTCCAACAGACCCCCCCCTTCTCGAATCGCCAATGCCGCTAGCATGGCATGGTAGATCCATTTCGTTTTAGTTGGTGGGGGAGGCCAGGGGGGGAAGTTGATAGAAAGCGGATGGTGGGTGAGAGAGCGAGGGAGTTGATGGGCTGCTCGGATCCATGGAGCTTCAAGATAGTACATGCAGTACTTTGCATTCCATAGGTACACAAACTGCTTGCTCATGTAGATACAACGTCAAGTCACCATCACTCATGATGGGCGATTCTCGATGCAATCTGTGGGACCCCTGGACAAAAGTCTCTCACCTCGTCAATCTATCTCGACGCCACAAACTCTCATTCTCGGCCAAATACAGAAGCTGACCGCCATTCAGTGGGGGAACGCGCATGGGGGCCGATAATCGAGGAAGAGATACGAACGGGGGTTATTGCCTACACGGGGGTTCGAGGCTGGCTTGGCGCTTTAGCCAGCCGTGGTCCAGAGGCCGGTCCAGCCATGGCCATCCCTGCGTCCGAAGCTGGTGATAGTCAACGGCCCAATCAAAGGGCGTGGCGCATCGAATGTGGTTTGGGGGGTCTAGGAGGGGGTCAGGCTGTGAGGAGAAGGGCGATTTGGGGTAGCAAGGAAGAGTCAGTTCAGTCAGCTTGGGACCCCATCTCTCACTTTCTTGAGGTGCTAGGGATTATCGACAAGCTCACGAATACTGTAGTAAGTAGCAGTAGTATGGAGATCTGTTAGTCAGTAAGAGGCTTGAATCATCCCCAAAGAAACGTGAGCTCGATTACATACGACAATGCAAGTATACATCCAATCAGCAGCCAGAGCCACTATTCCCACTCTCCGGCGGGGAGCTGCCCAAGCTCATACATCTTTATCCCATCGTCTTCCAGCCCTTCATCTTCCCTCTCTCTCCTCTTCTCACTTTTTCCTCCCTCATCAAACAACCTCACGCCAACAGCCCAACATGTCTGGAAAGGAGCCCGTTCTCACCGCCAACGCGCCCAAGCCTCTGCCCGGCATCTACAGCCAGGCCATCAAGGCCAATGGCATGGTCTTTGTCTCTGGCGCCGTGCCCATGGACCCCGTCACCATGGAGCTGATTCCCGGCGACATCCAGGCTCACACCGTACGTAAAAAACAATGGGAGACGAGATGATGAATGTTGCCGGCAAAAAGACAAAAGACAAAAGACGCTGACGAGTTTTGAATTTTGCCCCAACAGCACCAATGCATCAAGAACCTGTCTGCCATCCTCGAGGCTGCCGGCACCAGCCTGGACAAGGTCGTCAAGGTCAACGTCTTTTTGGCCGACATGGGCGACTTTGCCAAGATGAACGAGGTCTACAGCACCTACTGGGGCGACGTCAAGCCATGCCGAACGTACGTATTTTCCCTTCTTCTGTCTTCTCTCTCTCTCTCTTCTTTTCTTTACCATCTTTCACAATGTCTTTGGCCTTTGATTTTCGTCCCTCTTTTTCGTCTTGTTACCCCTCCATGTCTTTGCAAGGGCGCCCCGCCATCGGATGCAACATTGTGGTGGGGGGTCTGTAAGAGGAGAGGAGAGGAGCTTGAATGCAAAGGCCCATGTCACGTATTACATTCCTGTGTTTATCTACATGTATATCCAGCATTTCAGGGATGAGGATTGGGACTGACGAGTTTGTTGCTTTCAACAGATGCGTGGCTGTCAAGACCCTGCCGCTGAACACGGATGTCGAGATTGAGTGCACTGCTGTCTTGTAAATGGGGGATTCCAGGGAAATCAAAAGGAAAATACCAAAAGGAGTAAAATAAAATAAAATAAAATAAAACATAGACCAAAAAAGGGAACAATTTCCCCTCATCTGTTGCTTCGTCATTTGTGTGATGCGCATGTAAATTCCATGTCAGGCGTTTTTAACCAACCATTTATTGCTCGCTCCGTGTAAGTCAACATGACATGTCACGTCAAGTCAAGTCGACAAGTCAAATTGAGCCGGCTAATGTCCCAAAAGAGAAAAAAGATTGCGAATCAATTTGTCGAGTCGTACCAAATAAAAAAAAAATACATGTTATAATATACACGCCTCATGATGTATTTCCAAATGCAAAGTGTCATCAAACCCCCCTCCCATCTCTTCAACTTACCTACGCAACATCTGGCAGCGCATTCTCCACGTCCATCATCTCCTTCATGCCGTCCGCAATGCTCTTCACTTTAATCTCATCCGGCCTCGGCAACGGCCTCCGCGTGAATCCTCCGTAGCCAAAGTACGACTGCATCGCCGCCTTGACGCCCACGACGCCCGTCTGGATGGCAACCCAGTCGCCCGCCGCCAGAACAGCCTGAAGCGCCGCAGCCTCGGCCGCCTTGTCCGGACCGGCCTCGGCAAGGCGGAACAGCTTGACGTTGGCTCGCGGCGAGACGTTGGCCAGGCCGCCGATAACACCGGACGCGCCACTGGCGATAGCCGAGAGCGTGAAGTCGGCGCTGCCGGCGAAGCACAGGAAGTTCTCGCCGGATGCTCGCACCGCGGCGGCCACGCGGCCCAGCTTGCCCGTGTTGCCGCAGGTGAACTTGCAGCCGACAATGTTGGCGTGGCGGCTCAGGCGGATCAGCACGTCCGAGTTGACGTCGATGCCGGGCGTGGCGCCGGGATAGTTGTAGATGAGGATGGGGACGGGCGACTTGTCGGCCACGGCAACGAAGAAGCTCTCGACCGTGGCGGCGTCGAACAGGCCGGCGTAGTAGCTCGGGGGCAGCACCAGCGCGTAGTCGCCGCCGTTGGCCGCCGCGTCTCGGCACAGGCTCACGGCCTCGACGACGGACTGGGCGCCGCAGCCGACAATCAGGGGCATGGACGAGAAGCCGGCGGCGTCCAGGGCCGCCCGCGTGGTCCGGGTGATGGTGTTGCGCTCCTCGTGGGCCAGATGGACCGCCTCGCCGTTGGAGCCCTGGACCGCAAGGCCTGCGACGCCCGCCTTTGCCAGCCGGACGGCGTGCCGCGAGACTGTCTTGACGTCCAGCTCGTCTGTCTCGGGGTCGAAGAAGGCCACGGTGGGCACGTAGATGCCTCGGGCCAGAGCCCGTGCTGGGCGCTCGCCATTTGCGGCGGCCTCGGTGGGAGTATAGGCAGAGGGAGACATTGTTTCGTGTCTGATTTAGAAGAATGGTTCTTTGCTCTTATTGCGAGAAGACGATATGATGTGTTTATAGGATACAGGAGAACCCCGTATAACGGTAGGTAGAATGAAGAGAGACCAGGTCTCAAAGGATTAAACAGTTATGCCTCACACAATAACAAGTCAACAAGAGAGAACACAGCCCACACAATTCTTTCAACCAGAGTCGGGTAATAAGGAAGAAAAAAAAAAGAAGAAGGAAGAAAAGGAGGAGGACGAGGGGGGAGAGAAAGGGAACGGGACGCAAAGCACAACTAATAGCACGCCCGGTACCTACATTAGCATGCCCAGCAACCCGTGTGTTCTCGTCCTCTTTTTTTTTTCCCCCATGCTACGTATTATTACCGACACGTTCCAAACAGAATGCTACTATTGCTTTGCCAATGTCGTGCTTCCATGGGCCAGAGACAACGCAAAAAACGCAGGGGAAAACCGGCGGTACCCCCACGCTCCCCATACTTTTTTTCCCATTCGCCCATATGTGCGTGTACGGAGTAATAAGGGGAGAGAGAGGCAAGGCAGAAAAAGCTGCTGATCATGGGGGGAAAATGGAGTAAGACAAAGTTCTCCATAGTTTTTTTCTTTCTCCTCAGGCGTTTCTCAAGGCTCACAATCCGCCGAGAGCTCTCTATCCCGCTTTGCAACTAGTTTCAACCTTGTGTACGCTCAAGAACCAAACTTTGGCCGGGTAGATTGTATTTTTTGCTCGAATCAGGCGCCACACATGATGGAGAGTAGAGTTTCCCCGTCTTTTTGGGGGGTGGGAATGTGGGGGAATTTGACCAGCATTTGTCCAGACTTCACTGGTATCCCCTGGTCGTTGACATGGTGAAGAATCGCATTCGTTCCGTACATGTGATTATCGGTACACGAACTCGACACATCTTGATGATCGGTTAGGAATCTGTTGTTCTTGTCCCGTTATAATGAGCCTCTTGGGAGACCCGGGCTTTGCTTGTTGTTCCTGTGCTCAGAGATTCTTTCCGGGACCGGCCGGCACCGACGCCCCTTGCTCACGTCGGTGGGGGTCTTTTTGATCCTCTGACCTGTGCTGTTCCATTCTGTGGAACAAAGTGTCACGGATGAATCGTAATGTAGTTCCGTGCAAAATCAAAGGAATATCATATTGTACAGAACCAAGCAGGTGTCATTGCTCCGCCGAATCAAACAAATGCCGTGATATCTCATTCAAGTCTACTAGTAATACATTTCGTCTACCACCCCCTGGCCTTGATCCAAACATCCACAATCTCATCCTCACGTCCAGCATTATCCTCATCCACCACGAAATACCACCCAAAGTGGCTGCTCGTGATGCAGGCGTGGTTCGGCCACAGCCTCAACAACTGTCCCGCCTCCACCGCATCCCCCTGAGCTCCCAGCCCCTTCTCCGTCTTCCGCTTGCCAGCCGCCCACGTCAAGATGCCGTGCTCTTGTGCGAATCTGCCCACCGTCCACCCCTCGTAGTCTTCGACGTCGCAGGAGGGCATCGGCACGTTTCGTCCCCACGGCGTCGCCACGGCCATGCCGTCGTATGCCTTGCAGAACTCGCGGCCCAGCGCCAGTCCGCCCGCCCCGATCAGCGCCTCGTCAGTGCCGTTGGTGCCACGACCGGGATACACGCCGTGAACCTCAGCCACAATGGTGAGGGCGATATCTCGCCATGACAGCTTGGACGAGGCCATGCTGTGCGCCGCCAGTTGCTGTAGATCCAGGGTCGGGTACACGCCCGCGTGAATCTCCACCGCATGACCCTTGCTCTTAACTGTCCGGAACAGCTCCGCCAGCTCCGTCACCGCGGCCTGCAGCTCCGGCGTGCCTGTCTCGCGGTCTTGGGCCTCGTCCGGCTGTCCACTCAGCAGGTTCTGCACTGCCAGGGCAGTAGGAGATGCTCCCGCCGAGACAACCAGCGTGGGCAGAGTGATGCCAGCCTCCTCGGCCTTGACAGCTAGTCTATCGGCGCCGCTCAGCATGGCATCGACCTCGGCTCGCAGCATCTTGACTGCAGCCACGCGGCTATCTCCTCCGTATGAGTGTCCGGCATGTGAGTAGAGGCCGGACAGCACCACAGCGCCGGCCTTGTGAGCCGCCAGAGCCGCCTCGGCAACCTGCACGAAGCGCCCGCTGCTCTCCACGACTCCGGCTCGCTTTCCTCCCATGTCGATCTTGATGTGCGCCAGCGGCTTCACGCCGGACTGCTTCTCCAGCTCTGCTGCCGCTGCCAATTGTGCAGGGTCGTCGAGAAGAACTGAGATGCTGCCCTCGCCGAGCACCTTGGCAATCGCCGCCAGCCGCGGCACGGCTCCCTTGGAGATGGGTAGGCCATAGACAAACTGTCCAAACATCATGAAAGGTCAGCCTCAACTAGTATTACATCTGCAAAGGATTGGTGACGCATACATTTACCTGCCGGCCCTTGCTCTTATACTCCTCCAGCAAAGGCAGTATAAACTCGGCCTCTGAGAGTGTCGAGACAATCAAGTTCGCCGGCCTTGTCAGATCCTCTCCAACTTGCAGCCTCGTCAACTCGACAGTCTATGATTCAAAGCTCCATGTTAGCAAGTGACACCATCACCTCCTATATTAAAAGGCACTTCAATTCACCTTGTGTGTCTTCACATGTGCCCTCCACCCCAGCTCCAGCTTCTGCACCGCCTCCAGCATCCTCTCGCAGTTCCGCCTCGCCGCCGCAACGTTCATCACGGCCGCGGGCGTCGGCACGTCCCGGATCGACTTGCCCACAAACTCCCTGACCAGCGCCTCCTTGGGCGAGGTGGGAAAGAAGACGAGCGACGACATTCTTGCTCGATTCGAATCAAGCAAGCCGCTGAATGAGAAGCCGACAAAGACACGAGTTTACTGAATCGTCAATGCCCACAGCCGGCCCAATCTGTTGACTCGTCAAATCGCTGGATGCTTGTGAGAAGAGCAATGGAGTGAATAGAGAAATCGCTGGTATAGCTTGTGACATCGGATAACGGCGGTCCAGTTCCATCTAAAGCTCTCCATTTCATCCCCCATAATAGCTTTTGGCCCCTCAATCTGCATCACGTTGCCCCTCATTCTCAGGTATTACTGATAGTCATTGTGTTCCCCCACGACAGAAAAGGTGGCACTTCTCACCACTAGCAGGGAGAAGCAAGCTGTGATCGGTGGGGGTCACGTACGATATCGAGCAGTGGACCGAATAAACGGGACTGGAATCAGCAGGTAAGGAAGAATACGAGTAATGTATCTTGTTATTTCTCAGCCTATCTACAGGATAAGACAACTACCTATCTGTCTATCTCTATCAAGTATATCTGATTATACAATATATATCCATCTTCATCTATCTAAACGCAGTAGTATACATATCTGTGGAGTGCCTGTGTCTAAGAGATTTACTAATACTCGCTGTATGAAACATCCACTCCACATGTACTCATAAACACAATTTACTAGATCCGCAGCAGGGTAGGGACACTTTTTGTCTGCCCTTGGGGACATCAGAGGCAAACACTCACATAGCACCATAATATACAGCTCAATGCAATATTTCCATGGTAAAATAGAGCATTGGAGCATAAACGATGTGAAGAGCCGACTAACAAATCCTTCAGGTGGCTCACCACTTGATCTCAGATGCTAAAAAGACATCGTCATCGTTTAGTTACAGACGTCGCATCATGCATTCGTTGTCGTGCAGGCAGCTTCGGTTTATACCCGAATGACCAGTTGTCCAGAGCACCTCTACTAGGCACATTGTTTGTTGTAATCATTTGCATGCCGTATTTCCAACAGCCTGCAGCCGCCGTAGAGCTTCAGGTACATTCTGTCACCTGCGACGAACTCGACCGTCTGTGCCTATTACATATACGTGTACTTGACTGTATCCCCTTCCTCTCCGTCATATAATTCGCGTCTTTCGTATAATCTGGTAAATTGTATTCACTACATCCTACCTGGGGTCTTCAATTATCTGCTCCTCAGTAGACAAGCTGTTTCCACTCTCATTGCATCCGCTCCCATCGCTGCTTGTTTTCCCATCTGATATCATCAAGTAGTAGCAACTCGCCTGCTACATGTAACCACATGTAACCAAGTTCAATATTGACAATATGTCAGGTGCTGGCTTCCTACACGGATGTAATTGGTACACGGGATGCTGGATAGCTACTCCCTTTCGAATTATGCTTCGCTTCACAACATGCTTCTTTCCCACTCCATTCCACCAGCTGCATCGCCTGCACAACCGCCTCTATGGCTTTTTGTTTTGTTTTGATTCTTCTTCTTCTTCTTCTTCTTCACCATCATCACTTTTATCTGACACATATGCCCCATCCAGTTGTTTATCTTATTTTTCTTATACCGTATTGGCTATTGGCGGGCCACCATGCACGAAGTGACAAATGTTTCCATTATTCTATTCATGGCCGCTTTCGGTGAGTATTCTGTGCACAACCGTCGGCCTTCATTCAGCCCCGGTTGCTCTACTGTATGTCGAGAAAGCGTCCAGATTTCTAACAGAGCACTCTTCTAGGCGGCCTCTTCATCGGTCTCAACCTGGCGTCCATGACGGGCATCCTCGATGTCATGATATTCTCGTCCGACCCAGATTCACCGTTTCAGCGAGAACTCGTGACTTTCGTAATGCCTTTTGGCTCAATACTGGGGGCCCTCATATCTTCGTATATCGTTGACCAATTCGGAGTGTCGAGCCCGTTGCGCGGGGCGATTCTGCTGTGGGTGACTGGATACTGTTTCATGTCCATTGCAGGGAGTATTACACTTGTTTGCGTCGGAAGAAGCATAGCCGGCGTCGGAGGTAGAATTCTCAGTGCAATCTTGCCCGCATATATGGTAATGAGTGTCTCCTGCGCTGGCAAGGTTTGATTGCCGATGGCTGAGAATCAAACAGGTTGAAATAGCGCCAAGGGAACGTCGGGCATCATCCATGAAGTATACAGAAGTCATGCCGCCGTCACCAAAGATGTGCTAACATGTCAAAAGTCTTCTATACGTGTTAATCGGCACCGGTATCCTGTCGACAAATGGCATCCAGTTCATGGCAACCCGGCTCATCGGGCGGACAGTTCCTGGAAACGACGAACCAGAAGCTGTTGTTTCTGCTCTTCGGGTCTCGTTTATCCTTCAAATCATCCCTGGCCTTGTGTTCATGATGTTTGCATTGACGATGCCCGAGAGCCCGTATCGTCTTGCCTCCCGGGGCCATTGGCGTGAGGCCCACGGATTGATGGCCGCGCTGGAGGATGGCACCACGACTGATCCCAAAGTTCTGGCGCACTATGAGCAAATGCGAGCCGAGATCCAAGCTCGACGCGGAAGTGGACGGCCGAGGCTGCTCATGTTGTTCCATGCATCGGAAAGGAGCAAGCTCGTGTTGGGCGTGTGTACGCAGTTATGGAACCAGCTGTGTGGCATACATGTTCTCTTGTGTTTGTCTGCCCCAAAGTTCAAAGGCTCATCATCTCATAGTACACCGATGCTGACATGGCTCTCTCCATTAGACCACGCTACCCATGTCTTGGCTTCAGCAGGAATCGTTTGGTACCCCTTGGCCGTGTCCCTTGTATATCTATTCAACGTCATCGCTGCGATGGCGGGCTCAAGTATTGCGGATATTTGGGGTCGGCGATTGACCCTGATGTCTGGCTCCATTGTGATGATAGCATGCCTTATGATAATGGGTGAATATTACCTGTACTCAGATCCATCACAGTCACACCGGCTAACCTTGCTCCAGGGATCATCCAGGTCGGATTTGCCGAGCTCAACTTGGGCTATTTCGAGGACCCTTTCTTTGACAACTTGGTCTACGTCATCCGAAACCCCAGCGTTTCCAATACCATGCTGGCTTTTGTCTCTCTATCTGTAGTCACTTATGCGGCTACATGGGGTCCCACGTCTTGGGCCTATTCGACAGAGATATTCCCGACTTACCTTCGCAGCAGAGGGGTTGCGCTGTGTACGGCGAGCTTCTGGGTGGGCAATTGTATCATGACCCTTGCGGTACCCAGCATGCGTAAGTGAAGAAGGAAATTGAAGCGTGTTTCTTTGAAGAGCAAAGTCAGCTAACACGTTGTGATTCGGGTTGGCAGTCGCAAAGCTCGAGTACGCAACTCCATTCTTTTCTCCTTTCCCCCCTTATCGGGCAGCAATGCCAGCAAGAAGACCTGCTGACATGGAGATTCCGACAGTGCCAGGATATACTACGTATTCGCCATCGGTAGGCGATCCGGTCTCTGGATGATGTGCATGTGTATAACATATGGCTGATCAGGTGTCTAGTCAACTTCGTTGCTTTTTTGCACGCGCTGGCTGGTTTTCGCGAGACCCAAGGAGGCCCGCTGGAGGAGATGGACGATCTCTTCAATTCAGAAGACTTTGCATGGCACTTTCAGGCGAGGGGGGTCAAGTTCAACCACTTGGTGTCGCGGTTTGAGAATGACCCGTCTGTGGTTGGCAATGCTGCTCGCGATGCTGATAGGCCGGCGCAGGAGGATATTGAATTGGGATCAATGGACGGCAATACCATCACCAATGTAGTTGCTGTATAGACTGTGGGTTTTCAATATGAATGTTACTCGAATAGCTTGAATTGATTAAATACACTACTATTATTGCCAACTCTGCCACGATTGCTTTTCATCTGTATCGCTGCCTGGGCATAGCCAAACATGATCATATTGAGCTGCGAACCATTCAAATTGTTATATTCGACAAGATATCCTTTGCATCTTCCAAACATGTGACGGGGAATATAACACGCAGCATCCCAACTGCGTGGATTCGACCAGAGTCACCACGAGACCTTCCCTCTCCACAGCTCTGCATAAAGCAGCTTCTGCAGTGAGGAAAAAGTGGTGACCGAAATCACCGGGAGTCCATCAAGCCCAGCCACAAGGGCTGCCATCGACAATGGCCATCTGGGAAAAAAGAGAAGCGTAATTCCCGACAGCCTTGTCGACGAGGCTGAACAAGTTGGTTTTTTTTTTTTTGTGTATCTGCATCCATAGTCAGCGCCCAACAGAACCCAACACCCCTTTTCCCTACATGTCACTGCGCAAAAATGTTTTTCCCTCGCAAGTAGCCAAAAGAAAGAAAGAAAAGCTAGACAAGAAATCGATCGATTCGGCTCAAAGCGTAGACGGTAGGTTTTTTTTTTCAAACAGTCGCGCGATTTCCCTGAGGTATTTCCCATTAGCTGGCAGGCAGTCACAAACCCAACCGCCCTGGCCATGTAGAACAGTAAGAAAGAAGAAAACAGCACTGCTCTCTGGATCTCCTCCGTCGCGCCTAATCGTCGAAGAAAAAATGTTACTAGTACATGTTTCGAATCACACAGCAAATATCAGTTCCCTTCCGCCCTTACCCCCCCTTTCCCTCCTAAGAAAAATCGAAAAAAAAGGCATTTCATTATTCTTAACATGCCTCCATTATGCCAATGTACTTTGGTTCGTAACAATGGGGTATCCATAAAACGCCAATACCTCATTAGTCGTCATAAATGCAGCGTATACCTTTTTTTTGTAAAGATAAGAGAAGCCGTGGTTTGGAATTTCAAGCACGCTTCTCGTATACGTGCTGGAGAAAGTTTCGCTGCATCCTGAAGGAGGAGTAGTCTCCGCGGAAAATCACATCGAGGATGCCGCCGCACTTGGCATCTTTGGCGACCTCTTTCATGCGGGCTTGCAGGGAGAGATAGGCATCGTGGAAACGAGCCTTGACGCCGGGCATGTTTGATGAGGAGCCGGCAATGTCGTTGGCGGGATTGTTGGGATCAATGATGGAGAGGCGGGTGGTGTTTTTGTACGCAAAACTGGTGACCTTGGACTAGAGTTGTGAATTCGTGGTTAGCAAAGAAAAGATGGACCAAGGAGAGGGGGAAGAAAGTACCTTGGGGATATATCCAACAGGACCAGTGAGCGAAATGGCATTCCTTTCGTAGTTGAACTGGCGCCCGTACAGCTCGAAGAATTCCAGGAGCATCTCTCCAAGATGGTGCTCCGGGATGAGGTTGCGGCTTTGCACCTGGGGCATGAGCTGCAACATGCTGACGACTAAGCAGATGACGGTAAATCCTCCCAAGCCTCCGTTGACGGGTTCGTTCAAGCCCCGCATGAGGAGAAAGTGCTTGATCAGAGTGACGAGGATGGGCATCGCTGGATACTCCTTCTTCCAGCGTGCAAAGGTTTCAATCGCCGTGACTCCGCCGAGGTTTTCAAAGGACACGTCGACTCTGAGTCCGGTGGCCTTGTCGACGAACTTGACGAGCGGGATTCGAGCGTGGGCAATAACCTCGATCGCGTCGAACTCGGCAATTCGCTGGGCCACGAGGAACTTGCGGAACTTGTACAGCCAGCTTCTGGCGCTGAGGTACGTGGCAGGGCCGCCTCTCATGAAGCTGGCGGAGCATACGACCATGTCCATGTCGGCAGTTGGGAGATAGAGGCCAGACATGAAGGAGCCAAAGGGGAAAAGCTGAGCGCTGGCAAAGTTTCGATCATCCCTCTTCATGGCCCGTCGCAGGTTGTCCACCAGACGGTCGCGAATCGCCTGCTCAAAGTCGCAAGGCTTGACAAAGTGGTAGAAATCCATGACTTCCTTGTGCAGTCTGATGCAGTGTGGTTAACATATGAGATACCAAGCAAGGTGCGTAAACAAAGATGAACAAGCTTACCGAAACGGCATATCCGTAGTCGCAGAGTGGTCGACAGTTGCCCATGGGCAAGGCTCCTCGTGTGATTTCGGCGCCCAGTTTGGCACCAAGTCTCCCTTAGACGGCTTCATGTTTGCCTTCTTGAGCTGGCCGTAATCTGGTGGTTGGATGATCTCGTCGTCTGCAGTACGCTTGCGAGAGCCAAGAGGACCTGGAGTGGTATGGGTAATGACGGGTTTGTTTGGGAGAGAATTTATACCCGCAGGAGGAGGTGGAGGCTTGCTGGGAAGGCTGCCGGAAAGTTCCTTTCGAGGTGGCAATGGTGGCTGAGAGTCAACCTTATCGTCGTCTGAAGGTTCTTCGCCCTCCTCATCACTAGGTTCAAACGATAGGAAATCTTCAGCCTTGGTCGTAGCAGCGGGCTTGGCTGCAGCCTCTTCCACTCTAGCCTTGCGGATAAGCTTCACAACGTCTCGCTTCTTGCGAGTCGTCTCGTCTGGACAAGGAAGCGCCGTGTATGGGTCTGGGTTGGACCACTTGGGAGTGGCTTCAGCAGACTCGTCGGCCAAGGCCGTGCGCGCTCGTTTTCTCGAGGGCTCTTCGGTATCAGACTGCGACGATCGTGACGAAATGTCCATATCAAGCTCGTCATCGTCCGACAACTCGTCCAGATGGCGAAATTTCGCACTTTCGCTGTTGTGCACACTCTCCTCGGGCACGTCAGTAGCAATGCCGGAGATCAAGGCGCGCTCAGAATGATGGGGCGGCGGCTGCCATCGAGGTCTGCCCAATCTCTGGGGCGGGCCGCCTCTTCTTCCGTCCCTTCGAGGCTGACGGCGATGTGACGGCTGGCCGGCAGGCGCGTATTCTGAGATGCCAGCTGGTTTCTCGACGCGAAAGGTAAAATCTCCCTGGGGCACGCCCGGCCGGTACGAGTCGCCGCCTCCGCGGTCATCGCCGTATGACCGAGGACGATGTTCCTGCCTCCGATCGCCGGGCCTCCAATTGTCAGAGTCACGATAGGGCCTGTCGCGCGACTGAGGGTATCTTGGTGGTGAGCGTCGCACGGAATGGCGGTTTCGGTCGTCTGCATAGCCGTTTCTCGGGCGGGGTCTAGTCCGCACCATGTTGGGCGCTGGTTTCAAACAAGTTCACGATGAAGTCAGCCTGGGCAAAGCAGGATCACGAGATGCGAATCCACAGCGTTTCTATGGCAGAAGAAAGTTGGGAGAAAAAGTATGCGTGATACGACAAATAGTGGTTGCTCGTTATCAGCTTATCAGCGTTGGTGACTAAGCAGATTTCGCGGCCATCAGTTCGCGATGATTGGGAGAAAGTGCCTCTGTGTACATGTTTGAGGGGCTTCTTGAAGGGAATTGAATTCTAGAAGCAGCTCAGAATCGCATTTGACACTACCAGATATTCCTCAACTACATACTGTAGAGTCCGAGTTGAATGACAATTTTATGACTTGTAGTTCACATAGACCGGAACCTTGTGTACGCCCGGTATCACAAGTATCCACATTCCCAAGCATTAAACTTCCAAAGTCGAGTTAACGGTGCGATATTATCAGTACTCATAATTTTGGGTCTGTCTTTTCAAAATTATCAAATAACAGGTGCTAGAAAACGGAAAACGGGTATGTGTTTCATCATTAAGCAGTGCCATGCAAACGAGCGAGAACAGCATCCCAATCCTGTCTCTTTGCCCACTCCTCCCAAGTTGTCATGGGACAGTCAATCCCAGCCTATAACGCACCGTTAGCATAAAAGATTTCATCTCATTAGATCGGAAAAACACATACCTTTCTGATATCCTCTGCCTGCAATACATCCATGCCGCCGTCATAGCCCGGTTGCGAGCTGTACAAGAACATGTCGGTAGCCTCGGCTCCAAGCTGCGGCTCGCCGGCTGCCTTGATCATCTCCTCGGGAGAAATCTGTCTGTAGGTGGCTGGAACGCCCGAGACTTTGCTCCATGTCTTGATAAACTCGGGCCAGGTGCAGTTTGTACCCGCGGCCATGTAATGCTTTCCAGGGGGCATTTGCCAGACAGCATAGGTGAAAGGGCCCATGTCGTCGACCGGGGCGAAATGGGGGACTGTCTTTGTGGAATCCGTAGCAAAGGCCATCTCGATGCGTCCATCAGGAAGCTTAAACATGGTGTTAGAACACAAGGTAGACTAGATGTCGCGCAGGTTTCGCATAGAGACAGAAACCACACGCTGTATGAACAACAACTCACTCTTCCAAAATAAGAATGCGGCAGTATGTTGAAGCTTGTGTAGAAAAAGCCCGTCTGAATGCACGACATCTTGGCCGCAAGCTCGGGATAATGCTCTTCGACGTATGCCGGGAAGATGTCGGCCTTGGAGTCGAAATGATACAGCTCCTTGAACTTGCCGCCGCTGCATTTGCCCGCGTGGCTCAATGTGGAAACGAGAAAGCCATTTGCGTCCAGCGAACCCGCAACCTTGGCAGCGGCGTCGGCTATGTTCTTGCCATGGCGATACTCTGTGTCGTACGCAAATCGACGGTACGAGATTCCTTGTGCTTCGGCAGCCTTACGGGACTGCGGGTGGAAGAAGGGCTCCCAGTAGTCGGTGACGCTGAAGATGACGTTGGCCCCGGCAAATGCTTGATCGAGGCTGCTTGGGTCGTCGAGGTTGGCCTCGATTAGCTCTGCACCTTGTGATGCAAGCTCTATGGCTGCGGGAGAGGTCGAATTGCGAGTGAGGCCTCGGACCCGGAACCCGGCGGCGAGAAATCGACGAGCCACGGAGCCGCCCTGGTTGCCAGTAGCACCGACGACGCAAATGAGTCTTCTCCCTTCAGAACCCATTGTAATGTTGATTGATAATGAGCGCGAGAGATTTGGACGAGAGGCGATGGCGTGTTGGACAGTTGATAGTTGCAAAAAATGGTACCAGCCAGAGACTGAGAAGTGCTCAATCTGGAAACTTGGCGTCTCCACTACGGGCGAGATGGGAATAATGAAAGAGACGAGTCGAGAGAAGGAAATCAACTCGCAGAAAAGTCTCAGAGGTTGATTTGATTAATCTAAGCCGGCAGCCCCTCACCAGCTCCCCCAGCTCCGAAGCCCCTTAACGGCACGAGCATCATACAAGAGTCAAGGGACAGGATTCAAACACTAAAATTGTATAAGGCAAGGCAGTAGCATACATGTATGCGCCATCTGCGGTGTCGAAACAAGGAATTGCGACACTAGCTGGTGCTCCGAAGGCTACTCCAACTAATAGGCTCGGTCAACGGGACAAAAGGGGAATAACAACATTCCTCAAAGACTCATCTCCTCAGTGGCAAAACGTTCAGTCAATTCGCATCTGATCCAAGCAAAACTACATGTACAGACATGAGCTCTACCTAACCGAAGCAACGAAAACCACTGTTACCAGCTAGCCGGGACCATGGGCGTTGGGTCTCAGGAATTTGTGCCTATTTGCGTCCAAAACAGTCACCCAATTTCGCATGGTCCAGTCCCAGTACCATGGGCCAGCTCTCGCGAGCGACGGCTAAACCCACGTGCAAGAGACCTAGCAGGGTCAGGGGTTGAGCAAACGTGTGGAGACGAGTGAGATGAGTTGCGCAGCTTCGCCGGCCTATCACGGCCCTCAATCACGCTTCCGGCAGCCCACTTGTGTTATAATGGTCGGCGAACCGCAGCCAGCTTGGTATGAGTAAGTTTGAGGCGTGGCGTGAGAGCGGGATGCGACGGCGAGGGCCAAGAAGAAGACGCGCGGGCTCGGTTCCACAAGCATCAAGAGGCCGTACAGTGTATACTCGTATGCCTTGATCCGGGTTTGATACTAATGAATACCGGATGTTCGTGTATCGTGTTCATGGATCAAATCAAAACTGGCAGCCATCATGACTTGCAGATGGATGCAAGTGCTTACACGTGGAAGGGTGGGAAAGATTGCCGCATCTCCATGCAGATTCCCCCGGGCTGAGATCATGTTACAACGGCTAGATCAATGAGATGGAAGGAATCAATCAATAAACCGACGGCCAGCGACGAGCCCGGCTTCGACGTGCACCTCGTGAGCCTACATCAAAACGCAGAGCTCATGTTACATGTACACGGGCAATCATGCAAGCACCTCCGCTAGACATCGGGCCACACACCTCATGACCCAATATCAACTTGAAAGCATCAGACTCGGGCCTCAGTGCTGTCCGAATCCTTCGTCCAAGTAGAAGCATGCTGCTAGCTCGTAAGTGTCTTAGCCCTCCCGAGCCCGAAAAGGCCCGGAGCTTGTAAGCCTCGCCATCCCGCAAGCCGCTCCCCGCCCCAACTCGACTCTGTCCTTACAGGATCGATATTGCCGTTTCCGAGGCCACTAGTTCAGGAGAAAGACGAACAACGGGAAGGCATTTCTTTTCGCCCGCCAATTTAGCAGCTCGTTCTCGAATCCCGCCATCGCCGGGAGGGCCCCTGGCGTATCGGAGCCTCGCGTAACGTGGAACGAGACGAGCGAGGCGAGAGAAGGGAGAGGGAGAAGAGAGAGAGAGAGAGAGAAAAAAAGGTCACCAGTCATATTTTTTCCGCGACACGACCATGTCGTCTCCCATTGACAAGGCAAAGTCACCGTCCACTTCTCCCAAGGGCAAGGAAAAATCCCCATCCGTTTCGCCGCGGCCTTCTCCGTCGCAATCTGCCGGGCCCATGACGCCGCTGGCCGGGCTCGTGGCTGGCGATGCCGACAATCCTGTGCCGGTGCAGGTAGATGTGAGTGCAACCCATCATTGATCTCCGTCACGTGTGTCCAACTACATGCGTGATGTGATGCAACACGTGGAGAGTCCTGTTTGTAATGGAAGACATGTGAAGGGGGAAGAGAATCGGGGG